GCATGAAGAGCTCTGCTCGCTTTGACAGTTCTGTCTGCTGTGCTCCGAAGCGCGTTTTCGGGCCTCCACACAAATGCACTTCCATTTCCATAACCTCACCCTTTTATCGCTGCTCAGAATCATTTATATCATTTATAAGTGCGAGAATGATATGATCCCCGGTAGTGCGTGTTCATCGAGTTGCCGTGGTTGCGATAACCACGTACATGACATGGGAGGTTTTAGACGAGGAAAAATGGTACCTAATGGGTGTTGGGTAAATACTGATCACATAAGTTCTACATATCGGATTTGGGAAAAGGAACGATACACTGTGCCGCCTAATGATACTTCCACCTACAATTTTACCGAAAACATGCATCTGAAGATGTTATTGAAAAGGCTCTACAGTGGAAATCTGATGCGTAGTTTTGAATGGGAACACATATGCTTAGTTCAAAAAACAACAATATATTATCTTCATTTTTTGGAGATATTCGCTCTGATTATCCGGCAAAATCATACTTCCACCACATATTTTTTCGCTCTATTTTATTTTTGCCTGAAGAAATATCTTCTGTATTCTCCCTTGTAATTCCTCAGGTGATGGCAAAGCCAAACTACCGTAATACTTCCAAATTACAGAAACTTAAGTTTCAGTTTCAGCAAAACGTGGGCAGAACTTCTTGTAAAGTCAGTGGATGCTGCTTGATGTCTTTTACGTAGCCTTAATGATTATGCGCATTTGGAAAACGAGTTAGCCACCTTTGTGACGAGAAACCATGGCGAAAAACGAGCCAATCTTCAAGTGTTGCCAATTTGAGTGAATGAAGGCAAAACTTTATCTATGTCTTTTTATTTGTGCCTTTCCTTCCATTGACAATTTCTTTCTTGTAGGAATCCTTCCCTCTTGACCGACACATATAAGAAGGGGAAAAATTGAGGAACAATTCAGACTCCGAAACATTACAGGAAATAAGTGTGCTTACCTTCTCGACTTGGCAACGTTTTTGGGAAAAATTGCCTCGTTTTTGGTCATGGTTGCTCGTCACAAATATGGCCAACCCATTTTCCGTACATGGATTATCATCAAATATAAAATACATCAAACAGCGCTAATTGAGACGCCAACTTCTGAAGAAGGTTTGAATTTCGTACACGACTTGGTGAAACAGTGTTATTCTCTCAGCAATGGTACGGCGCTTATCCCAATCGGAAAGCAATCAGTGTTTCTTGCAGCATCACATGTCCAAATGTCCATGGAAATCATTCGCGAAGAAATGACCTCGACCAAAGTCTGACGTAAATCCATACTTCGACAATTCTTGCCAATGTTTTGCTGCAATTTCTACACTTTGAGAGTCGCAGAGCAGTTTCGCCTTTATGATCACCCAAGAAATTGCAAGGGACAATAGTCGAAAAATTTCGGAAGACAGAAATAAAATGCTGCGGAAAACACTTAGTGTAGTAAGTATGATTTTGCGGGATAGGCTGAGTATTTTCAAAAAAATGACACAAAAAAATTGCTGCTTTCTCTGTGAACTGGAACTCTATGTTGTTATTCAGAGCTGTACTTACACGCATCGCACTTCCACCATAGAAATAGAACCATTTTGAGAAACATCTTCAGACGCAAGTTTTTAGTAAATTCGTTGGCGGAAGTATCACCTGGCCTGTGCGTTCACTTTTATGTCATCACACAGATATCGAGTACTAGGAGTTTACGGCGAAACCGCAAGCAAATCGGGGTTTAGCATTATCGTGAAGGGTTGTTGCAGAAAGTCGTGAACACTTTTTTTCAAAACCCACGTTTGTTCCTCTAGAACGTTCGTACATTGCAGCTACGGGTTCTTTGAATTTGCGTATTGTGAGCTTCTGACAGAACCTTTTTCGGTCTCCCATCTCTTCATTAGGATTAACGTTTTCGACAAATGTCTGAAAAAAAGCATTCCGGTGAGTTCTCCACTGCTTCTGTGGCGAAATGGTGATTAGAAGGGTAGCTCAAGTTTTGGGGAACGAGTTAGCTACATATGAAGTACACTAATGTTGCTGCGGTGTTTTCGGGCTCATTCTAGGAACACAATCCACACTCGTATTTATGTGTTTGAGTCCTCAAAATGCTTTTCGTTGACCGGTGATCCAAGAAAAGCCGGTGGAAGTCGTGGTTCTTTCAGATTCAGACACTGATTGTAAACACTAAGATTTTTTTGACATGAAACTGGGTGTCAGACTTCGTTCCAATCACGCGCTTCGTGATTTATTCGCTTGATTTGGTCGTAATGTCTGACATCTTGGCGTGTGGAAGAGTTCTAACCTTTATCGCTTTGCGGTATTTTTCATCCAAAGCTTCCGCCCACGAGTTGACATACCGTAGGATGACATAGTTTGTAAGGACCCTGCTTGGAGTATCGCTCATGATGCTGTCAATACTGAAAAAAATTCAAGAGAATTTTTCAAGTGACTATAGAAAAGAAGAAGACTGTTTGATTGTACGTTTTCAAATAGTCCATTCCAGGTATAACTATAATTGGATCGTTTAGAATATAATCGTGAACTTCTTGAGGTGCTGTTGACAATAAGTATCTGGTCCAGTTGACCTGAAAAGCTTCTACATGAATATTCTCATAGAGTGTACATGAGCATGAAGGGT